TATCACTGATGGAGGGAGGTGACAGGATTTGGTGGTAAAATCTGTTAAATCCACTTCCAATAATCAAAACATTGTCTCCAACCATATAACAGGACATTTATGTTACAACTGTGTTTATTTTGTAACAGATCAATAACTCTGTCATGATTTCTACATCTTGACATTGCGGTCAACATGCAGGTCCCTATTATCTGTGTTAACTGTTATGATCTCTTACACAGTCATTGTGGGATGTGACTAATACTTTTATTGCCTCTGATCCCTGTGTAGAAACAGGGCTGAAAGTAACCGCTGTGGTCACACATGGAACTAATAATGTAGGGAAACTACAGGAGTTTAATCTGGATCAGAACAGCGCTGATCTCCACATTATCTCATTATAGGTACATTCTTCTTTTTTTTGTTTTCTTTTATTAATTTTGCAGCTCAAAAACCACAAGCATGAAAACCCTGAAGGCCGAGACAGAACTCAAAAACATATATTACAAGAATCTGCACAGGCATGGGTACACAAACCAAGACAGGACATGGATACTTAAAACTGTGTGTATATATATATATATATATATATATATATATATATATATATATATATATATATATATATATATATATATATATATATATTAGGGATGGGACGATTTATGAAAATCGTTCGAACCGACTGTCTCGGTTCGATTCGCGTGTGTTTCGTTCGGTTCATGCGCTGCTCCTTTTTCTCATAGAGGAAGCGATTACACTCCAGAGCAGAAGGTGGCGGTACTGCGTCCAAAGCCAACCACCAGTATTAAACAAGAAGAAGAAGAAGCGAAGCAGCTTAGCTGGGTGTAGCAGAAAAAAATAAGTTGTTGTGGAGAATTGTGTCGGACTGGCGAGTGGGAAAGAACAGGAGTTGGAAGACGCGCCAGCAGCACTTTATAGGTCTGCTGTATGGGAGCGCTTTGCATTTAGAGTGACCTACGATGACGGCGGAAAGAAAGTTGTGGATAAAAGTGCAACAGTGTGCAAGCATTGTGCAACACGTTTTGTTTATGCTAACAGCAACATGACCAACATGTCATGCTAACCCCGAAATCCCTCATACTCCGTCAGTAACCCCCGCTCCGCCCCGCTGCGCTCCAGACCGGCTGCTCAAAGCAAAGCCTACAGCCCCCACTGTGGCTCCCTCCGTCCACTCACCTCTGAGTCCCTTGGAGATGGTAGAGAGCATGCGTGAGATGATTAAAATCAAAGCAGCAAAACATACGGAAATGATCCAGGGTTTCCGTGGATCATTTAAAATAATTACAATCCATTATTTTTTGGGAGATTTTTTCATTAATTTCATACATTTTTATGGGATTTCGGTGTAACAATCAACATATATCGAACTGAACCGAACCGAAAACCGTGACAACGAAACCGTGAATCGAACCGAACCGTGGATTTTGTGAAACGTTCCACCCCTAATATATGTATATATATATATATATGTATATATATGTATATATATGTATATATATGTATATATATATATGTATATATATATATAGGCAAAATAACTGATCAGAGAACAAATTTTAACATATGCATAGATAATGAAAAAAAATACCTTAGTTTGAAAAGGAGTTTTGGAAGAAAAACTTATATGGACAAGAAGCCTTTAGTTAGACACAACATAAATGTACTATTCACTGTGATTTGACAAAAAGTCTTGACGATGACGAAAAGTAAATAAAAATTGACTATAAACGTAATAAAAACAAAACAAAATAACTTTGCTCTCTTTTGTAAAATCACGTTACAACAAATGTTCCTCTATAGATCATAATAGTCATTATCAAACAGCAATCGTTGAACATACTGAATAGTAATAGTTACTATATAGATATATAATATTTGTAAAACATAATCGTATATTAATATAAAGCTTTGTGTTTATCATATTAATATTCTTTTCTAAATATATTGCTGCATATATCTCATCTGATAAATATGTGTAATCTAACTGAAAGGTTATTTTAAAATGTGTTTTGGTCTTTTAAGTGATTGTGACTCATCTCTGACTCGTCTTCCATACTATTAAAATGAGATCTAAGGCGCCTCCTATTCATCCTGACAGCAGCTGTCTGAACTTTGGTCCCATCCAAGATGGCTGCCGACAGTGTCCAAAGAGGCGTCTGCGTGTATAATGTCTATGATCCAATGAGTCCATCATTATTAGCTAGATTCATCAAAACATCTAGTTTCCCCATAGCTTCAGGACACATGGTCTAGGATAGGAGTAGATTTGTGGTTTTACTTCTCACCCTGACTGTTGAGTCTCAGATTTGCTTTGTTTGCACTCTGTGAACAAAGCATGTTTGTTTTATGGTTTCTAAAACTTGGAGATTATCCCTTAATCCCTCTAGATTAAGGATGATGTTTCCTTTTATCTAAGGTATTAAATAGAATAACACAATGGAAGGTGTTCTTACCATAGTCTGACCGAGGCTTTTAAAGGCGGATTTATAGGTTGTATAATGAAGAGGGCAAGTAGCCCCATACAGACACTAACTCCTTTCCACACGTTTAAAAAAATCTAAATAAGCTAACAAGCTGTTTTTTTAAAACTACAAAGTGAAACGTGTGAGATTAAACCCCTACAATATTTTTTTTCTGCCGTGAGATTTCATTTATTGGCAGGAAAGGCATCATCTGTGTGTTTCACATGATCAAATATTGAGTAATAGTCTCTTTTGTGGTTGGAAAAGAAATTGCTGAATGACTATTGTGCTAAACCTGAAAGGTTAAATGTGTTTTCCTTTTTTCTGATCAGCTAAGAGCCTAATTTTTTGGTTGATTTTCACCTGAACTGGTTAAACGAGCTAATTCTCTGGTGCAATTATGCAGTGTTTTGGAGTTATGCAGTCTGTGACATGATTTAGAGATTTTTTTCAACAGTTCAGCAATCTGATGGCAGTGGAAGTAGGTGTTGCAGAATTTGCTGGGCCTGCATCGAATCCTGTGAAGCATTTCCCTGAGGGCAGCAGGGACCACAGTTAAAGATAACATCAGCAGGGTGGTAACACTAAACGGATGATTAAGCCTGAATGTGTGCTGCCTGTTACTGAGGCAAAGCGTTAACACAAACACAATCAGATGTGAAGTTGCATTGATCTGTAAAGGAAACAATCATTTAGAGACAATAATTCATCCTTCCATCACCACCTGGCCGGTTTATTGTAATGCACTTTATCTGGGGGTTAGTGCCTTCAGCATGGCTGGACTCCAAAGAGTGCAAAATGCTGCTGCACGTCTTTTATCTAGCACTTGTAAATATGGGCATATTTACCCCATTTGACCCTCACTACACTGGCTTCCTGTACATTTTAGGATTCATTTTAAAAGCTTTTTTATTTGGTTTTAAGTTGCTCCCTGGTCTTGCTCCATCTTTCCAAGTTGCTGCACCTTCATACACCTTCCTGTTCACTCAGATCAGCCAATCAGCTGCTTCTTCGGCCTATCAGCTGCTTCTTCAGGTGCCTAAAACTAAAAGGAAGTTTGGCGTGCAGGTGGCGCAGTGGTTAGCGCACACGACCCGTGTATGGAGGCCTTAGTCCTCGACGAGGATCCGACCTGTTGTCTTTTGTCGCATGTCTCTCCCCCTCTCTCATTCCCCCTTTCCTGTCAGCCTACTGTTGAAAAGAAAAAACAAAACACAAGCTTTGAGTTTCACATGGTTTCATTTCGTAAAAATGAAACCATGTGAAACTCAAATTTTCCACTTGTAGAGTTGTGGATAGAGCATGATGTCTGATGAATTTTTATATACATGCCTTTTGCTCTGTCAGCAAAAGGCATGTTTTAGAGTCTCTATACTCCCGTTAGCGATTAATTGATTTCTAAATTAGTTGGTGATTATTTCAATAATCGATTAATCCGATTGTTTCAGTCCTAAAATGCAAATTAAAAAGTCCGATTTTAAATCGCTTTTAAAAACTAATCTTTTTGCCTTGGCTTTCAAAACTTAAGAGATGTTTATTTTGGTCTGTGATAAATAATTTTTTTGTTATTATAGGTTTTATAGTTCTGATTTTAATTTTGTTATGTACAGTGAACCCTCGCTATAACGCGGTTCACTTTTCATGGTCTCGCTGCTTCACGGATTTGCATCATGCATTGTCAAACTTTATTGTCAAACATAATCGATGGTGGCATGTCGGTTTATAAGGATCTTTTGGCCCAGAAGAAAAAAGAGCGACAACAACTACCGATAACTATGTTCTTCTCTCAAAAACACACACCTGCACCGCAGGCTTTAGAGCAGAGCAGAGTCAGAATGCAGCGGCTCCGTCAGAACAGCAGTGAAATACTGTACTGTACACGTCAGTCACTATTTGTCCTACAGTACTTTGTATTTTTTTCCATAATCATTTTTCATTTTCTCCCGTTCCAATCCGTCACGGCGGGGCGGTTTAACTCTTCAGTTCGTATTGATGATTAAAATTATGACTTATTTATTGATAACTATATTATTTTACAGTACAGTGCAGTAGTTATTTGTAAAAAAAACAAAACAGACAACAACAACGTTTATACCGTACTTTTATTTGTTAAACAAATGCTTGGGCCTGTAAAAAGTTTTTGTTCCTTGATTTCAATGTTGTATGGAGTATTTCATTGTATAATAACTTTAAAAAAATAAATGTTTCTTCTTCACGGATTTCACCTATCGCGGGTTCTTTTTGTAACGTAACCCCCCCGATAATCAAGGATTCACTGTATTTAATTCCTGTAATGGTTTTATGTCGGTTCATTGTACAGCACTTTGGTCCTTCGAGAAAGTGCTTTCCAAATAAAGCTGGGATGGATTGTTTGACGCAGCGGTCCCCAACCACCGGGCCACAGACCGGTACCGGTCCGTCGGTCATTTGGTACTGGGCCGCACAGAAAAAAGTATATAAAAAAGGTTGGGGGAACGCTGGTTTGTCAGTTTCCCTCTTGTTTCTCTGTTGTCTGATTGCTGCTCTGTCTTCCAGTAACCACAATGGATCCACTCCCCTGGTGCTGGCAAAAAGACGCGGCGTCAACAAGGACGCCATTCGCCTCCTGGAGGGTCTGGAGGAACAGGAAGTGAAAGGCTTCAATAGGGGGGCCCACTCCAAGCTGGAGACCATGCAGATGGCCGACAGCGAGAGGTAAGCATGCTAGCAGGCAGGAAGTTAGCCTGAGGGCAACTATATTGGTGGAAATTAGAAGGGAGTTTTGATAATAAGCTTTTTGTTTGGGTAAAGCTAGCTCCTTTTAAAATCAGCTGCGTTTTTTTTAGTTAACTTAATAAGAACAGGAAGCAATGTGGGTCCTTTTTCATCACTTCTTCCCCTTCTGAAACATTCTTCTCCTGTTCTCGTACTTTCCACCAGTCAGCAGTGGGAATCCTTTATGTGGGAATCCTTTTGCACAGTGCAGTCTGTTCATTAATCTAAAACATCTGCTTCCAACTATATGTGGTCGTTGGAAGGGAAATTAAAACACTGATCTAGCATCTATTAAATTCCCTCAGATGTTTAAAAAACAGGTGTTGTTGCTGCAATGAGCATTCAGTAATAATTCAAGAAGCTAAACTCGATCTGCAGAAGTCAGCAAATGCTTTGTTGTCTGGAAGGAGACATGAAAGATAGGTGAAAGGGATAGTTCCACTTTTTGGACATAAAGTGGTCTTTAGCTGTGATGCAGCTGTGTCATTACTGTCAATGAGAAACAGCTGGTAATGTACTGTAGAAAAACTCCTGATAAACATACGTGTGTGTTTGTTAGACCAGAGGTAACCAATTAAAAATCAGTGGGGTCCGAATAAAGAAAATCATCAACCAGTAAAGGTCTGGAGAGATTTTTTTTAATAATCGGTTACTTTAAACATAATTTAACACTAAAATAAAATGAGGTTTTTATGCATCCATTTTAAACATTGACTTTTTAATTAAAATAATAGATAAAAAATTGGAAATTTTTCCATTTTAAAATCTAAAGTGTTTTTGAAGTAGAGAACATTAATGGTTCAGTTCGGTATATTGACAATTTCCTGATTCCCATATTTTATAAAACACCTGAACTGACCTTTTTATTTTTTATTTTTCTAGCTTAATGGGAGCAGTGGGCTTTATGCTGCCCTGCAAGGCTTTAAACCTGGTTTGAATGGGGACAAAGCCATTCTAAAGCACATATCAAGGTGCTCATTTTGAGCCTGGATCCATATTTATTTTTGATTCTGTTCATGGTGGAGAATCCTGCTTCACAGCAGCAGGTTGAGCCAAACATCCTCTAAATGTGCAGGATCATCTTTGAGCACACCATTTCCCTTTTCTATCACTAGTTCACTGCAGTTCTTAGAGCAGTCCACACTTTCTCTGCTCTCTTTTTCTCATCATCTTCTCCTTCTTTCCCACTCGCCAGGCTAAAAACAGGTTTGCCTGCTGTGTCTAAAAGTAGCAGCAGCAGCAACCCAGACTGACAGCAGCTCATTGGCTAATTTGTATCACGTGTAGCCTGGTCCTGGATGCTATGGAGGGTTTTAAATCAGGTGTGTCTTAGTAGACCGCGGTCCACTAACCTCTCTGTTTTAGACTATTTCAAATATTTTATGTCTAACAAAACACACGCATAGTTTTACTAACGCTTTTCTCTGGTATATTACCGGCCGTTTCCCTCAGCAGGAGCCTCAGTACAAGTAGTGACACTGTTGCATCTCAGCTCCAGACAGTGAACGTTTCACTCAACTTCATGTCCAAAAACTTGAAATATCCCTTTAATTCTGTTGCACTAAATTTACAGTAGATAAGCTATAAACACAGTAGGCAACTGGAGGTATTCTGGGAAGCAGTTACACTCAGCTTTAAGACAGGTGGATCCAGCAGACCATATCTGACCTCAACATTTTACCTCGTTTGCTGCAAAGTGGTGTTCTAGATAACTTGAACAATGAAGGGTTAAACCTTGAGTAACTTTGATAACGTATTTTCTGTTTGTTTTTGGCCAAAAGGCTCAGTTTCTGTGCTTGTTATTCTGTCAAGATTGACGGGTAAATGTTTATCTTCATACCCTTAAAGAAACACCGACTTAATTATTAGCAGAATGGAAACTGACCCATTCTGGAATCCTTCTGCTCTGTGTCTCAGCGCCATGGAGAGCCACTCTTTACTCAACCCCAACCTGCAGAGCAGCGAGGGCGTCCTGTCCAGCTTCCGCACCACCTGGCAGGAGTTTGTGGAGGACCTGGGCTTCTGGAGGGTCTTTCTGCTGCTGGTGGTCATCGCCCTCCTCTCCCTCGGCATCGCTTACTACGTCAGCGGCGTGCTGCCTTTCTCCAGCAGCGCGCTGGAGTTGGTTCACTGAGGAAGACGAAGGTGGAGAAGAATCCGCATGTGGAGGGGGGGTTGTAAAGTTTAGTTAAAGTTCCACTTTATGCTCAGTGTGTTAAAAAAACAAATAAGTGGATTTGGCAGATCTGATCCTAACGCTATCCTCAGCAGCGATCTAAAGAAGCTCCATTCTCCTCTGATTACCTTCACACCATGTAAAATCTGATGAGTATTTAACAAGGAAGCAGGAGAACAATTATTAGTTTAGTTGGCTAAAAATCACCCTCTTCTTTGATGCACTGACTGCCCAACAGTCCTTCATTTTCTCACCCTAACCCTTTTTCTGTTACAGTCTGTATATTTCAATGTTTGTATCCTTTATTTTAAGTGTTCTTCTTCTTATTTATTATGTTTCTCTTCCTTTATTCTTAATGTTTGTTACAATCCTGCATCTCTTCCCTCTCTTATCACCTGTTGAAATAACATTGAATTATTTTTCATTTTGACTGAAAGCTGACCGTCCTGTAGAAGTGATGCAGGTTGAAATGATCAGAAAAACAGGTTGACGTCAGAACAAAAGGGTCCATTTAATGAAGCATGCTGCTTTGTTGCATTCCACTCGGCTCCATTGTGGTGACCTTCATTTAGAGGCATTCTGTAGGAGTAGAACTTTTGCTTTTTGTTGTAAATTCATTTATTTGGATCATCCTTTGCTTAACTGTCTATATTTTCTCTTGATTTATCCGTGTAAATAAAACATTTTAAGTAAATCCCGGTTTAATGTAGGAAATAAAATCAGTTGTAATCAAAATCAGTGCTTCCTGTGTTATTTGATAAACTTGAATAGAAAAAAAAAAATCCTGAATTGAGTTGTACTGAATTATTATGACTCAGCAGTGTTTTATCACAGGTTGAAGACAAATGTACGGTAGACACTCATCAGATGACATTTTTATTATAAATGCTGTTGAATTAGTATCATCCATCAAGCCAGGAATTGAACCCGGAACCTTGTTGCTGCAAGGCAGCAGTGCTACGCACTGCCCCTCTCTGCAGCCTGAATTAGCATCAATCAATGCTTTTTATAAGTCATTTCATGACACACGCTCAGTTAATGATGTTATGCATCGCCCTGAGATAAAAGGAGATAAAATGCTTTCTGCATCCGTCTATAAAGGGTTTCAACCTTTTCTATCCAAAGAGCCATTTTGCTCCGAGTCTGGCTAAGTAGAAGTCCTTTATTATTTGACTGTTTAATAATACAAAGCATATTACTTTTGTTACATATTTACCATAGGAAATCTGTTGCCATCCTTAAAAACACAAAAAACAAAGTTAATCTTTTTAGCTTCTAAAATAAAACATTTCCTAAGGATGAAGCTTTTCTAATTTAGGATATCATTTGATATAAGAAAAAAAAGTGATAACAATAAATGCATATTTCCTAAGCAGATTAAAAGAAAAAATGACTCCAAAAATCTATTTCTGGTTCTTTTATTTATGTTGGAAAAATAATATTCTTTATTTAAAAAAAAAAACAAAAAAAAAAACACTAAAGGTTCTTTGCCTGGTAACTGGAAAAAAATGAAATCTACCAGTAAGTCATTTTTTTCTTAAAATAAGTACTTTTATTTTTCCTGATTTGAGGCAAGTGAGACACTTTGGCCATGGAACAAGACCATTTACATTCCTTATACCTTATGTTAAGATTAAAAATTTTCATTCTGTTGACAAATTATCTTATTTACCTACTTAAATTGAGGGTAAATGCACTTAATTTAAGAGATTTCGACTTATTTCTAGATCATTTTTGCAGTATATTTGTTACATTAGTACATTGGTTCTTTGTTATTTTTAGCCCCTATTAAGAGCCACTGCAGAGGGTCCAAAGAGCCCTGCGCAGGTTTCACACCACTTCTCTAGAAGCTACCCAGCTCACATCTAGATTAGCTTACATCTAATCCACACACGCCAGCTATACCGCACCCAGAGCGTATAGGCCTACTTTCAACACTTTATTTAAAAAAAGAATATATGTTGAAATAGCTAAATCAAGACTCTGACTGGCTTTATTTTCTACGTTTGTTTATTTTTAGTTTTGGACAAATTTAGAAGCAGCATTTCCTACCTATAAACCACTAAGATGTTATTCGGAACTGAAAGTGAACTGTAATGATGGCACCTTGTTCTAAAAAGCACCACTTAGTTAGCTAAGTTTTTCAGGAATTATAAGACATGACTAATACAAAAACAATTCCTCCAAGTTAGGTTGTTAATGTCATAGATTTTTTTTTGTCTGTTGACAGTGGAACAAATGACTCTAAAGCGTACAAGGGAAACTCCAAAGAATATTGCTGCTCAAGCCTATTTAGAAACACACCTCTCTCGCTGTAATCAGACACAAAACTTAAAACCTTTTATTTAAGTGGTGGTTAATAGATGCAGTTTATTTGCTGTCAGCAAATGTATTTAATTGTTCTTTTAAAAAACAGTGCAACAGTGAATTAAGAAATCCTCACTTTGATTATAGAATTTTCAATAAAGCCACAAAGCAAAATGTGATGGGATTTACCTTAACTGCTCTTTTATATGGATGTGTAATTGCGCATGAATAAATGTTAATTTGTGCTTAAACCGTTTTATTATCCACTCCTCTCCACACAGCCTGAATTCTTTACACCGGGGACCGATGAAAATGTGTAAATATGAGGAAAATGGTTCACAGACACCACTGAGAATGATTCTTGGAAATAAATAATGGGTGAAGAGGCTTTGGAAAGGATCAGATATACGGAGGGAAAAGCCACATAAACCAGGCTGATAATGGACACATTTTCCCACATATTAATTTTTTTATAGAGTGGAATAATACTAACAGTTTAAAAGTCACAGCTTCCAATTCAGAAAATGTGGAGTTTTAATTTAATTAAAACTAAACATAACGTTTTATTTGCACAAGAAATCTGAAGTATATATAAAATGCTTAACGTGCAGAAACTATTAATGAAAATCTTTTTATTATTATTATTTGTACTTTTCCTTTCATCTGTAAAAGTGTTTGTGTAATCATTTGTATCCCCTTATAGCCTATCTGTCCTCCCCTCTCATAGGGAGGTGACATAATATAAAAAACTATAACACTAAAAAGATCAATATATTTTTCTTTAACCTTTTTATGCATAATTGACAGAAACAGAAACAATCACAACAATATAAGCGTGATGCCCCTTATATCCCGAGGCCCTGTGAGGTTGAACAGCTCTGCTCCTGCGGCCTTCTAGTAATCGGCTTCTATGGAGGTCATTTCTAGGCTACATGTTTGTTTCATTGGCTGTTTTGTTTGTGTAAAAAGTCAGCTTTAGGTAGTTTGTGAATTAAAGTTGCAGTTCTGGATTTTATCACCGAACTCATCGGATATCAAGACTTTGAATGTTTTTAAAATCATTTTTCTACCGGATTTGAAAAGACCACCAATACAGATTAGCAGGTAATTAGTTGAAGAGACAAAGTGGTTTATGTCAACAGTTTCTAAACCAACAGGTGAGTTATTAATCAGCACTAGAAAGTGTTATGAAGTGTCTCATATTACAGAAATAAGCTGTGTCTTAGCAGAAAAACATCAGGCGGCTGCTCTGACCCTCCTGCACCTGTTTTATCCACCTGCGCGTTTTGCTGAGATGTTTCCATGGAGACCTCCCTAATCCCTGCACGCGCTGTGCTCAGTCTTTGATTTTTAGCTCACATATTTAACTCTATAGACTTTTTGGTGAGTGGTCGAATTGTTTGTGTAAAAAATCATGATGGATGTGAGGAAGTGCTCTAATGTTCTTCCAGACAGGCAAATTCCTCTTGGCGTTTGTTTACTTTAAACGTTGCCTTTCAGTGAATTAGGTCATCCGTGAAAAGCAACGTTTCTGCGCAGTTTGCTTTCTCTTTGTAAATCCCCTACTGATGCCTGACCAGAACATATTCATCTTTTCTTATGACACCCGCTTATGCTCCTAAACAGTTTCAAATCCGCTTCAGGGCCCTAGAAAGCTCCTGAAATCTGTCCTATAAAAACATTTGTGCTGCTCTGCTCTTATGATGACGCTTTAAACTGACTGCTTGGAAATATGATGCAAAGAATGAACAATTACAATTATGCAACTTGGTTCGGGCCTTACAGGGTCTATCGGTTTGGCTGCAGTTTTATGAGCGTTAACCGCCAAAAAAAAAAGCAAAAATGACATGTGGGGCCATATGTTTACAATCAGCCTGGTTTAAGTGTGACTCATCTATACGGCTTTTTCCTCCGTATCCGATCCTTTCCAAAGCCTTTCCACCCAAAAAGAAGAGGCCAGGATAGTAATTTATTTCGAAGATTCATTTTCAGTGGTGTCTGTGAACCATTTTCCTCATATTTACACATTTTCATCGGTCCCCGGTGTGGAAAATTCAGTTTGTGTGGAGAGGATAATAAAACAGTTCAATCAACATTTATTCATGCGCGATTAAAGGAGCAGGGCCTCCTACAGCAGGAGTTAGAGTAAATCCTATCGCATTTTGCTTTGTGGCTTTATTAAAAAAGATATAATCAAATGGCGGATTCCTCAATTCACTTGTTTTTTAGAACTTACATTTTATTGATTTTAAAACAGAGCAACTACACAACATACAATGACAATTGCTTCTTGTTTAGTCACAGGTTCCTGTGCCTCATTGGATTTTAAAGTAGAATAATAAAGTTTGTCTTCTAATTGTAAAATAATGCATAAATAAAATATATAATTTCTGTTAAGCCAGACCTATGTACATTTAATTGGGAGACCCTAGGCCACTTGATGTTGTTTTTAGCGGTCTACTAGTTGGTTTAGGGCCACGTCCTCGGTCACAATCCGGGTAATTCCCCCGTTTTACACAGAAATACAACTGCCCGCTCCTCTCTCTCCTCCGGAGTGCAGGTAAACACACCCATTGGAGCAATCAACTGTCACCACATGTGTTACCATAGCAACCACGCCCCACCTGATACATGCATAACTGTCATTATGACTCCTACGTGCCTTCGATGTTCAGTAGGCCAGCCTGAGGCATGAGACTCCATGGTCTGTAATAGTCCCACTCCAGCCCTCAGTCAGACTCTTCATTAATGCAGTATATATGGACTCTAAAGGAAATATTTGTTTTATTATGTGGATAAAATCTATCAATTAGTTTTATAACACAAACACGATGCCAGGCATCTGGTTCAGATGCAGACAACTCTGTCCAGCTTCACATCTGTACACTGCAAAAACGATCCAGGAATAAGTAAATATATTTTAAATTAAGTGTATTTACTTGTAAAAAAAAAAAAAAAAGACAAAATAATTGTTTTTTCTCATTTAAAATGTAAATTGTCTTGTTCCATTGGCGAAGTGTCCAATTTCCCTACTAAATTCAATAGAATATGCACTTATTCAAAGCGAAAGATGCTTATTTAGATTTTTTTTTTTTTTTTTTTTTTTTTTTTTTTTGCCGTGTATAAGCGTGTCGAATTTCTCATAAGGGGGTGGGTGTTGGAAAAACAACGAGCCAATAATAACAATAATAATAGCGACGCGCCTCCCAAAGGGAGGAGTCTGCTGCCTACTGATGTAAAATCCTCGCCTTGCAGGCTTCCAGTCTGAGCTGCTCCTGGATGAATGAATATGGCACCGCAACGATCAGGACTTTCCTTCCTTATTTTCATCTCTTTCTGCCTGCATGTCGCTGCAGAGGGAATGGATGTGATCGTAGGGGACGGCTTTACATTCCCTGAAAGCTGCGATCCGGGGGAATCCGGGGAGCTGCTGGCTGAGAAAAAGTCTGATCCCCTGAAGGTGGCATCATGTGAGGATGGACAGTGGACGGTGAGCGCAGAGTACAGAGACAGAGTCAAAATCTCTGAAAAAATAGTTTTCACCCACACAGTGTTCACTGATGGAGGAGCAGTGTACACGCTGAAGTGCTCCGGCAAAGAAAAAGGAGAGCTCCTCCAGCTGAAGGTGGTTTTTGCGCATGAAATGCAGGTGAAGCAGGGTGAGAAGGCGGTCCTCCCCTGTTACTTTGAAACCAGCGGTAAAACTGATCTGAGCGCAGTTTGGAAGAAAGAAGGAAAGCCTCTGTGTGTGAAGAACTGCAGCCATTCCTCTGAAGACAGACTGTCAGTATCTGGGAGCTGGTCCACAGATGGAAACCTGTCTCTAACCATCAGAGAGGTGCAGCCTGGGGATTATGGAGATTATTTCTGCTATAACAAAGATCAACCAGGAATGCCTGCTGCGGTTAGGCTGAAGGAGAAAAAGTCTGATCGGAAAACCACTGCTTCACCTGAACATCATGTGAGTGGCTGCATTCAGTAGATTTATTTTCTGCAGAATATTAAACTGTTGTTGTTTCATTCTCACTCCTTTCTCTTTTCTTCTCTGCAGCAAACACAGAGCTGCTCTGAACAGATTCATCCCTGGAAGATTTCCACTGGGATTCTTGCTGGGATCCTGCTGATCACTTTAATCCTCCTGTTTTTGGTTTGTTGTCTATCTGGATTTGAATTTAGAAAGCTCGGCGAGCTGTTAAAGAAAAAACAGCTTCCTCCTCGATATGAAGTTGCAGCGGTTTAAATTAGGAATCTACTGGCTTTATAGCTCGAATCAAGTGTTTGTTTTTTATTCAGTTGTAACAAAAATGATGATTCATCAATGAATCTATGCATATTCCATCACCATGGCAACCAGAGACAGCATAACAGGATAATAAACTAGGGATTGATGTGTAATAAGCATTTCTACCAGCGTGTAAATATGTGTTTTTCCCTTTTATCTGTGTGTTCAAGATGCGTCTTTTGTTTAATCCAGATCATCCACATTTTTCAGGGTGTGGGCTTGTTTTGATGTTTATAACTTTTTGTTTCTAGCTTTGTCCAACTTGTTGCTGTATATACTGTCCCAAACTACATGTTTAAGAGTCTTTGTAACATTTAGATTACTAAATACATAGAAGATTATTTGAAAAATGAATAAATAAAGATTATTCTAATTAACTGTGTAAGGGTGTGTGTTAATATGTGTTGTTGTTATTGTAGCAGCACCAGGCTGATTAAGGTTTCCCCGCATTGCCTGTTCTTTATATGACTAATAAGATTTTGTGCATCTTAAGCAATCATCTTACACATCATAAAAGAGCAGCTCAAATATATTTGCAGGTTTACAAGCTTTTTCTGGCACTGCGGCTGAGTAGACATGGTTTACTTATCAGATGACAGCATAAGCGCGTCATAACAAAAGATGACTCTTAAGTAGAAGTTATTTGATTTGAAAAAACACCACCAAAAGCTACTCTTCATGTTTGGCAGGTTTTTGGCTCCTGTTTTTTTTTTTTTTTTTTCGCAACTGTAGGGCTGTGGGTTGTCTTTTTTTTGTTCTGTCCATATAGACTGATTGCTTTAGTACTACACTGCAAAACAATATAGAAAACAAGTAAAGAAAATCTTAAATTAATTGTACTTACCACTAATTTGAGTAGTTAAGTAAGTTGATTGTCAATAGAATGAGTATTTTTACTCTTAAAACAAGATAATTCGATAATGTGCACTTGAAATAAGTCAATGCAATTGTGTTTTTCTTATTTTAAATGTAAATTGTCTTCTCCAATGGGTAAAGTGTCTCACTTACCTCCTCAATACAAGACAAAATGCACTTATTTTAACAAAAAAAATGACTTATTTAGATTTACATTTTTTGCAGTGTAAACAACACATAATTTGGATAATTTGAAAGCCGGTATCGTGTTTTCGAAGAGCTGCAACATGCAGACATTTTCAGTCAATGTAAAACACAAATAAGCACTAAATATGACTTTTCTTTGCGTATGGTGGTCTAACAAATTCTTCTTTTTTTTTTACATGTCTAAAGGGATACACACCCGTTGATGCGCTTTAAAATGTATTTTTTGTACATGAGGTTTGGAGTCTAGAGTGTTTCCTTCCTGTTTTTCACTTAACCTCCAACCATGCACTGTGACTGCAAAAGTCACACTGAACAGTGTCCATTGCATATTGTGCAAATATCTGTATGTGCTCTTTCCAAAATATTCGACAGATACTGCAATTATATATTTTCAAATTAATGCATTAAGGTTTCTGGACATGCATTTTTCTTTTACACCTTTATGTGTCCCTGACAGAAACAGACACAGTCACGTGATGCCAGATATATCCCGAGTTAAGAGGGAACCCATAGGAGATCAACACTTTTTCTAAATAACAGGCGAGTCATATACCAGCTTACGGTCCAAAAAAAAAAAAAAAAAGAGAGAGAAAAGGTCATTGGAAGTGACTTATTACTGAAATGAACTATGCGTTAACAGATATAACAGATATAATTAGACAAGTTGCTCAACAGGATTCACAGTATTTCTGTTTTAATGCAAAAAAAGATTCCGACACCGCCCTGCACCTGTTTAATGCACCTTTTCAACATTCTTATCTGCATCACTGCAGGGAAAATGTGCTTAGGCCACTGAGTCATTCTGATTTGTTTTGCATCCTGTTGGAGGCAAACCATACACTTGTTAATATTTGTATGTCTTAATGTTCTTCTTGGAGCCAACTTACTGAAATAAAGTGGCTCAAACCCTGACCGTCCCTCCTTCCACATCCCACATACAGGCTCTGTTCCACTATGCTGACCATGAGAAACTTTACAAAATTCCAATTACCAACAAATTCAACATATTACAGTCCATCTCCTTCGATCGATGTGCAGCTTTCTTTCTTCAAGCATGCCATTTGTAGACAGTTTTCCTTCCCTGCTGATGAGGCGGATCTATGAGACCAGAGGCAGCAACCCATCCAGATGGAAAAAGCAACAGAAACCAGCAGCAGTGCCGTCAGGACTGCGATGATAACATGTGGTTCCTTTAGTCCAGGTGGCCCCTGTGTTGTTTGCTGTGGATCAGGAATGAAAACTAACATTAGACACGATATGAGCGATGATCTACATGGTAGAGCTGTATACTCACAGGTGGAGTGGTGGATGGTTTATTGTTACATTGCTCCTGATGGACCTCCAGTCTCCATGCAGCAGGGCGTCTCTTCCCCCTGGAGCCTCCCTGGGCAAAGCAGAAATAGTCCCCTTGATCCTCCAGCTGGACCTGCTGCAGGATCAGCGACAGGTCCCCAGACTCCAAGTCAGAGAAAGACGCGCGGTCTTTAAACCCTTCTGCATATTCAGCCGTTTGGCTGGAGAGTTCCACTTTTATTACAGGCTTCTCCTTTGTATCCCACTGAACAGACTCCACATGTTCACCCAGAGTTTGAGAGAAGCAGGGAAGTCTCACTGTTTGCCCTTCACACACTGAAATATCCAAGATAACCAGAACATCCAGCCTGATAATAATCATGTTGCCACCGCAGAGGAATTCATAATGTCCGTTATCATTATAGTTGACGTCCTTCAGATAAACTCCTGATGAAGAGATATCCATCCTCCCTCTATATGCTTCCACCGGCTTTAAAGGCTGGTTAACAGGAGCTGAGGCAACAGGCACTGCGCTGTCATCTGCCAGCCTGCGGATCAGTTTAGCGGCTCCTTCACTGCAGCTTGTCTGAGATGAGAGCTTCACAGTCTGCCTCAGAGCTCCAGTTACCAGGTGGCCTTCGACAAAACTCAAATGAAGGATCGCAAGAGTGGAAAGAAAGATGCGGAGCATGATGGCAGGTAGAGCAAATGAACAGGACTCTGTTCTGAGAAGACTGAGTGTGGCTCTGCCCTGCAGCAGAGAGAGGGAGGAGATGAGGGAGGATCCTCTGTCCAACAACCCACCTCTCTCTGATCAGTAAACATGTGATGACTAATCAGATAGTGAAACCTGATATGTGAAATAACACTTGGCAGATTTGTGTGTGAGTCTGACGGATGCCGGATGCGTCATAAAAGGAAGCGCTCCATGCTGTACATGTTGCGGTTTTTTTTTAACTTTTGTTATGACACACCGTAATACTCTCTAAAGAAACAATGCCTATTCAGCTTCAGGGCCTGAGAAAACTCATGTGATAAACCTGTGCGAATATATATTTAGCTGCTCTGCTTTTTTTATGACATTTAAGGTGATTGCATAGAAATAAAATGCACAAAAAGGGCACAAATTGCACATTGGTTGGGGCCCTAGGGGGTCTACCGGTTTGGCAACCGTATGTTTAAAGCTAATTGCTTAGAAATAAGATGCACAAATAGAAAAAAAAAAAATTAATAAAAAAACATAAATCATAATCTCAAGCTAACTTGGTGGCGTTAACCATTTACCAAAAAAAAAAAAAAAAAAAAAAAAAAAAAACCCAGCTCATGATAACCTACGTATAGCCAATCTTGGATAAAAACAAAAAAATCTAATTGAGAACAAAGAAATGAACAAAACTGACCTACATCTGTCCTTTAGTGACACAGGATCTGAAAAAACTTAACAGTGAATCAGCTCCCTTGGGGAGCAGTGGGCTGCCAGCGTGGGGCGTCCGGGGTTTAAGGGTCTTGCTCAGAGAGCCAGAGTGGCAGTTTGTGGGAGTGGGTTTCGAACTCAGAACCTCAGGATTCCATGCTCTAAGCCTTCACCACTATGCCGCCACTCCCCACTATTATGTTATATATATCATATTTGTTGCAATCCACTCTGCTCCATTATGTTGACCTTCATCTTCCTGGACATTGATTTGAGGGGGATGTCACGAGTGGAGAGCCAGACCTTCTGGCCCGGGCGATAGGAAAGGGCAGCTCTCCTCCTACGATTAGCCCACCGTTGATTCTGCTGGGAGGTCCTTCCCAGGGACGTCCTGGCCCGGTTCCAGATGGTCCAGCAGAGGCGGATGTGCTGTTGTACGGAGCGAGCGATGTCTGCCTCTTCTGAGGGAAACAAGGGTGGTATCTGAAGGGAGATAGACCTGTAGCTGTGGAGACAGAGCGTATTCTCCCAGCTCAAAAGTTGACTCAAGTTTAAAGGGTCTGACTCAGTGAGACATCTGAGGGTGGTTTCTGACTCCTGGTTCATTCTTTCCACTTGACTGTTGGATTGAGGGTGGTAACCGGAAGTGAGAGAGACCTTGGCCCCAAGCGCCGAGCAAAATCCTCTCCACACCTGGGAGATGAGGTCGCGGTCAGACAGGATGCCCTGGGGATGACCCAGCATGACATTTACTGTTTCAGCATCATAATTGTGGTCTCAGCCTAATCATACAAACATAGCACAAGAATTCACCTCAGATGACAGGTCTATGTAAAAAAAAAAAATAAATAAATAAATAAAAATAAAAATGTAGTTATATAACTTGTTTACTTGAGTAAATCCTCCACAGGACCCCAATGTTGGCTGAAAATGTCTTTTTTGGAGTCTTAACAAATGTGTTATCTTTTCCCTTTGGTATAATTCCCTTACGCATGGGTTGTAGGAAGGCGGCTTTGGTTGTTCTTAATTCACATTTGAACTGCTTTTAAAAGAATAATTAAATATTTTTCTGACAGCAAATAAACTGCATCGATTAACCACTGCGTAATTTAAAGGTTTTAAGTTTGGCGTCTGAATACAGTGAGAGAGGTGTGTTTCTAAATAGGCTTGATCAGCAATTTTGACTTTTGGAATTTTGGACATTTTTACGCTTTGAATGAATTGATGGAAGAGATGGAAGAAGAGCTAAAGAGAAACAGCCACTGCACTGCTTTACACATGCAAAGGAAACATTTGAACCAATTCAACCTATTTGCTCAGTGGGAAGAACTGATTGGAGCCATATGTTCAGCTCTGGATGGAAATGAAATGCTGCTGCAGTTCCGTTTCAAACCAGGTTCATCCCCAACTGGAGATGATTGGCTTTGTTTTTTTTTTTTTTTTTTTTTTTTGTTTTTTTTTTTTTTTATTAGTCTGATTATTCCAGAAAATACGAAGCCTTAAAGAAAAGTCAAACGAAAGCAGCTGTAAACCAAAGGAAATATATAGGCCACAATAGATAAACGCTAACTTTTGCTTTTAACTGTTGAAGGTCCTGCGACTCCATAGCAATCTTTGTCGCTTGAGAGAGATACAGCAAAAACGATCTAGAAATAAGTAAACATTTTTAGATTATGTGTATTTATCCTTAATTTGAGTAGGTTAATTAGATGGTTTGTCAATGGAATGAGTATTTTTACTCTTAAAATTAGATAAAAATGCACTAGAAATAAGACAATGCAGTTGTTTTTTTCTTATTTTAAATGTAAATTGTCATGTTCCATTGGCAAAGTGTCCAATTTCCCTACTAAATTCAATAGAATATTCACTTATTTAAAGCGAAAGATGCTTATTTAGATTTTATTTTTTTGCGGCGTATAAGCGTGTCGAATTTCTCATAAGGGGGTGGGTGTTGGAAAAACAACGAGCCAATAATAACAATAATAATAGTGACGCGGTGTCGGACCTCCCAAAGGGAGGAGTCTGCTGCCTACTGATGTAAAATCCTCGCCTTGCATGCTTCCAGTCTGAGCTGCTCCTGGATGAATGAAAATGGCACCGCTACGATCAGGACTTTCCTTCCTTATTTTCATCTCTTTCTGTCTGCATGCTGCCGCAAAGGGAATGGAGGTGATCGTAGGGGACTGCTTTACATTCCCTGAAAGCTGTAATCTGGGGGAATCCGGGGAGCTGCTGGTTGAGAAACAGTCTGGTCCCCTGAAGGTGGCATCATGTGAGGATGGACAGTGGACGGTGAGCGCAGAGTACAGAGACAGAGTCAAAATCTCTGAAAAAATAGTTTTCACCCATACGGTGTTCACTGATGGAGGAGCAGTGTACACCCTGAAGTGCTCCGGCAAAGAAAAAGGAGAGCTCCTCCAGCTGAAGGTGGTTTTTGCGCATGAAATGCAGGTGAAGCAGGGTGAGAAGGCGGTCCTCCCCTGTTACTTTGAAACCAGCGGTAAAACTGATCTGAGCGCAGTTTGGAAGAAAGAAGGAAAGCCTCTGTGTGTGAAGAACTGCAGCCATTCCTCTGAAGACAGACTGTCAGTACCTGGGAGCTGGTCCACAGATGGAAACCTGTCTCTAACCATCAGAGAGGTGCAGCCTGGGGATTATGGAGATTATTTCTGCTATAACAAAGATCAACCGGGAATCCCTGCTGCAGTTAGGCTGAGGGAGAAAAAGTCTGATCAGAAAACCACTGCTTCACCTGAACATCATGTGAGTGGCTGCATTCAGTAGATTTATTTTCTGCAGAATATTAAACTGTTGTTGTGTCATTCTCACTCCTTTCTCTTTTCTTCTCTGCAGCAAACACAGAGCTGCTCTGGACAGATTCATCCCTGGAAGATTTCCACTTGGATTCTTGCTGGGATCCTGCTGATCACTTTAATCCTGTTTTTGGTTTGTTGTCTATCTGGGTTTGATTTTAGAAAGCTGTGCGAGCTGTTAAAGAGAAACCATTGTCCTCCTCAATATGAATCTGCAGCGGTTTAAATTAGAAATCTAATGGCTTTATAGCTCGAATCAAGTGTTTTTTTTTATTCAGTTGTAACAAAAATGATGATTCATCAATCAATCTATGCATGTTCCATCACCATGGCAACCAGAGACAGCATAACATGATAGTAAACTAGGTATTAATGTGTAATAGGCATTTCTACCAGCGTGAATATGTGTTTTTCCCTTTTATCTGTGAAGTCCAACGTGTTCAAGTTGCGTCTTTTGTTTATCCAGATGAATACATTTTTCAGGTGGGGTTGGTTTGATGTTTATAACTTTTGTCTTTTTGCCATTTGCTGCTGTAGGATATTGCCCCAAACTACATGTTTTAGAGTCTCTGTAACATTTAGATTACTAAATACATGAAAGATTAATTCATAAACGAATAAATAAATGATTACTCTAATTATTTGTGTCAGGGTGTGTGTTAATGTTAGAAAGTATTAATGTTGCTGTTATTGTAGCATCACCAGGCTGGAGAAGCTTTTCCTGTATTAACTGTTCTTTATCTGACTGATAAGTTTTTGTGCATCTTTTATCTAAACAATCAACTTAAACTCCAAATATATTTACAGGACAGGTTTAGAAGCCTTATCTGGCCCTGCAGCTGCATTATCAGATGACAGCATAAGCGCGTCATAACAAAAGGTGACTACTAATATCTTAAATAGAAGTTATTGGATTGGAATGAAAGAGCACCACCCAAAGCTACTCTTCATGTTTGGCAGGTTTTTCTCCTCCCTCACCAGGCTATATGCACTTATCTTGGCTCCTGTTTTTTGTAACTGTAGGGCTGTGGGTTGAGTTTTTTTGTTCTGTCCATATAGACTGATTGCTTTAGTACTACACTGCAAAAACGATCTAGAAAACAAGTATAGACAATCTTAAATGAAGTGTATTTACCCCTAATTTGAGTAGTTGAATAAGTTAATTTGCCAATGGAACGAATATTTTTACTCTTAAAATGAGATTATTAGATAATAAGCACTTGAAATAAGTCAATGCAATTGTGTTTTTCTTATTTTCAGTGTAAATTGTTTTTTTTTTCCCATGGGGAAAGTGTCTCACATACCTCCTCAATACGAGACAAAATGCACTTATTTTAAGAAAAAAATGACTTATTTAGATTTACATTTTTTGCAATGTAAACAACACATAATTTGGATAATTTGAAAGCCGGTGTCGTGTACGGTAATTCCCGACTGATAGAAAAGCTGATTGAGTTCACTGCGCCTCAATTACATACAACATGCAGACAT